AAATGAAGCTCTTAAGATTATTTATTTTGAGAGAGAGAGAAAGAGAGAGAGACTGGCGGAGGGGCAGAGGGAGAGAATCTTTCACACAGATTCCCTGCTGAGCGAGGATACCAACTCAGGCCTCGATCCCACAACCCATGAGATCATGACCTGAGCTGAAACCAAGAGTTGGACGTTTAACCAACTGAGCTTCCCAGGCGCCCCCCCCCATTTTTTTTTAATGAGGGCACAGCCTGGCTTAATCATTTTGTGAGTTGATCACAGAAAAAGAACTTTCTGACAAATTTTAGAAAAATTGAATGGAGGGAACACAAGCCATTAGATGTTCAGTTACTTAGTTACAAGCCACAGAAACCTGGCTAATTTGAGCAGAAAGAGAATGTATTAAAGGATATTAGGTGGCCTTGGGATGAGGATGGGGCTAGAAGAGGCAGATGATGATAAAGCTTAAAATTCCTGCAGTTAGGAACAACATCCAGAATTACACTTGAGAACCAATCTGATTTCTGTCCCTATAGTTTTGCTTGTTCCAGAATGTCTTATAAGTGGAAGCAAACTAGAGCATAGCCTTTTTTGGTCTGGCTTCTTTCACTTAGCCTAATGAATTTGAGTCATTCATGTTTTGGCATGAACCAGTAGTTTTTTCTTGTTTATCCATTCACCGTTTGGGGGATATTTGGATTGTTTCCAGTTTTGAGCTCTTATGAATAAAGCTACTAAAGTTTTCATTTCTCTTTGGTAAATACCTAGGAGTGGGATTACTGGGTCATATGGTAAATGTATGGCTGCCAAACTTTTCTAAAGTGGCCATGCCATTTTTTTTCCATTTATTTTAAGTAAACTCTACATCCAACATGGGGCTCAAACTCATGACCCCAAGATCAAGAGTGGCATGTTCTACTGACTTGAGCCAGCCAGGCACCCCAGGCCATGCCATTTTGTATTCCCACCAACAGTGAGAATTCCAGTTGTTCCATATCCTTGCTAGGACTTTTTAATAACAGCTTTTTGTTTTTGTTTTTGTTTTTAGTTTAGCCACAAGAGTAGGAGTGTAGTGATATCACATTACAGTATTAATTTTCATTTCCCTGAAAATTAATGATGTTGAACATGTTTTCATCTGATCATTTGCCATCTTCATCTTTTCTTTGGTGAAGTGTCTATTCAAATCTTTTGCCTATTTTTAAATTGTATTTTTTTTAAAGATTTTATTCATTCATTTGACAGAAAGAGACTCAGCGAGAGTGGGAGCACAAGCAGGGGGGAGTGGAGAGGGAGAAGCAGGCTTCCCGCTGAGCAGAGAGCCCGATGCAGGGCTCGATCCCAGGACCCCGGGATCATGACCTGAGCTGAAGGCAGCCGCTTGACTACTGAGCCACCCAGGCGCCCCAAATTGTATTATCTTCTTATTGTTTGTCTTACTATTACTGAGTTGTAAGAGTTCTTTGTATACTCTGGAGACAGATACTTTATCAATTATCTTCTTCCAGGTGGAAGCTTGTCTCTTCATTTTCCTAACATGTTAATGGCTTTTGAGGAGCCATTTAATGAGGAGCCTTCATTTAATGAGTCCATGCACAAGGGTGAAAATATTTTAATATTGATGTGGTACTATTCATAAATTTTTTTATTAGCACTTAGGTCCTTCCATGAAAGGTTTGCCTAATCCAAGATTACCCCTATATTCCTATTTTTTCTAATATTTTATTTTATGTACTTTTAAGGTAAAAATGTGGGGCTTGAACTCACAACCCCTTGGGTTCTGGACACCAAGATCAAGAGTTGCATTCTCCACTGACTGAGCCAGCCAGGCACCCATCTAACAATATTTTAAATTTTGTCTGCATTTAAATGTTTTATCATTAGCATTTGCCTTTTTCCATTTCTTAATAGGAAAAACTGGAACTTATTAAGTAGATAGTGGCAGAAAAATAATTTCAAAAGTCTTTAAACCACTACAACATTAAATAAGCAATATTTTACTCTGCAACTACAGATTATTCCATATTTTTCCTATTTTAAATGAAGTATTAATAATTTTAGATTTTGCATTTTGATCTATGAGCCATTTTGAGTTCGTATTTTGTATATGGTGTGAGGCAAGGGTACTTTTTTTTTGTATATGGATGTCTGCTATAGACTGAATGTGTAACCCCCAAATTCATATGTTAAATCCTAACATCCAATGTGATGGAATTTGGAGGTGGGATATTTGGGAAATGATTAGGCCATGTGGTGGAGCTGCCATGAATGGGATTCGTTCCATTATAAAAGACACCCCAGAAAGCTCCTTTGCCCCTTCTGTCATGTGAATACACCTCTTTATGAACCAGGAATCAGGCCTCACCAGACACCAAATTCGTCAGTGTCTTGGTCTTAGGCTTCCCAGATTCCAGAACTGTGAGAAATAAATGTTTGTTGTTTAAGCCACACAGTCCATGGTATTTTTGTTATAGCAGCCAGAACTAAGACAACATCTAATTGTTCCAGAATCATTTGGTGAAAAGTCTGTTTTTCTCCATTGAATTACTTTGGGATCTTTTTAAAAAATGAATTGTCTATATACATATAGACCTATTTCTGTAAAGTCTGTTTTATTCCATTGATCTATATGTCTATCCTTATGCCAATACTACACAGCCTTAATTACTGTAGCTTTATGGTTAGTCTTGAAGTCAGGCAGTGAGTCCTCCAGATTTGTTCTTCATTTTCAATATATTCTGGCTATCTTATGTCCTTTGCTTTTCCATATAACTTTTAGAATCTCAATTTGCTGGGATTTCTCTTGGGATGGCATTGAATTTATAGATCAATTTTAGAGAGAATTGCCATATTAACACTATTAGGTCTTCTAATCCATGAACAGTTATCTCTCTAAACTCAGGGTTCCTGACTCAATCATAATTTATTAAGTATATGTGTCAAGGACAGTGTAAGGGATATCAGGATGAATAAGAAAGTATTTTGATAAAGGAAAATACTGGTGGGTTAAATAAAATACCTAACATTGAGAGCTTTTAATATTTTTTAAGGATTTATTTATTTGAGAGAGAGAGAAAGAGAGAGCACACAGAGGGAGAGGGAGAAGCAGACTCCCCATTGAGCAGGAAGCCGGTTGCAGGGCTTGATCCCAAGTCCCCGGGATCACGACCCAAGCGGAAGGCAGATGCCCAATCAGCTGAGCCACCGGGCGCCCCATAGAGAGTTTTTAGTATTTTAAAGAGCACTATTACCCTTTTCAGCTGGAATTGGTTTGCAATGGAAAGGGATATTTTCAGCTTGAAATTCAATTGTGTAGCCCTCTCTGATGATGTGTGGACAGGTCCCTTGATTTTGTATAGCAAGCCAGCCAGGAGATTTTAGAAAACTCAGACTAAGAACGGTATGTAAATTGGGATGCCTGGGTGGCTCAGTTTGTTAAGCAGCTGCCTTTGGCTCAGGTTGTGATTCCGGGGTCCTGAGATCGAGTCCCGCATTGGGCTCCCTGCTCAGCGGGGAGTCTGCCTCTCCCCCTCCATCTGCCTCTCCCCCTGCTCATGCTTTCTCTCACTCTCGCTCTCTCTCAAATAAATAAATAAAATCTTTAAAAAAAAAAAGGTATGTAAATTTAGATATGGTTTCCTTGGGGTACTGTGGTGTAGTATTCAAACCACCATCCATTGTCTGGTCCATAGATTAGTCTCAGGACACAGCCCCCAATGGACCCCAAATATCCGAGTCCTCTGAAAAGGAACCATAAGCAAATACAAAATGAACTAAAAATGGTAATGACTCTTCTAAGAACTATGGAATACAGGGCAGCCTGAGGAGCTGTGGGGCAGTACCACCTGAGTAAGGACAACTCGCTTTATCCACACTCTTATAGCAGTCAAGTAGGGGCTTTGGCCCTTTTCGGGGATGATAGGGAATCAGAGGGGCTTTGTCACCACGACTCCGTATCAATAGCTGTTAGCAGAGGATACAGGGCAGAGCAGAGCAGGAGTGCCCAGCAGATATGGCAGTACCCAGAGAAAGGTGGCACCCTCTTCTCAGCTGCTTGGTCTTGTTCCTGCGCACAGGTGAGACCTACCTTCAGCCTTCCCCTGAGTGTTTGACAGGCCAGGGTCCTACTACTGCCAAGGTACCAGCCCAACATAGCTCACATACTCAGTATCTCATCTGATCCACTCAGCAGTATGTGAGGTTAAGTTTTAATCCCATTACATAGATGACAAGACTGACCCTTATAGCACTGGATCTGTTGCTATAACCACCAGGTTGATTTCTCGAGCTATGAGTCCCAGAGATAATGTGAGTTTTACTTACCATTTTACATTCTGACAACAGGAATTTTAAGTGTCTTCATTGCCCTCATAAACTCACTGAACACTTCAGTTGTTTATCATGTATTTGATTTCTAGGGTGTTTTTTTTTTTTTTTTATGACAAACATAATCCATCCTTTAGGAAAAAGTGGTTAGTGAGCAAAGCAAAAAGAAAGAATCACACAGGGGCACCTGGGTGGCTCAGATGGTTAAGCATCTGCCTTCGGCTCAGGTCATGATCCCAGGGTCCCGGGATGGAGCCCCACATCTGGCTCCTGACTCGGCGGGGAGCCTGCTTCTCCCTCGCCATCTGCCTCTCCCCTGCTCATGCTCTCGCTCTCTCTCTCTGTATCTCTCTGTTTCAAATGAATAAATAAAATCTTAAAAAAAAAAATCACACATGGTGGGAGCCATAGGACGGTAGAGAACTCAGAAGAAGGAGCAGCAGTGCCCACTGACATGGTTACAACTAGAGGAAGGCATGGGGATGGGTAAGGCCCACAGAGGAATGGCATGGAGGTACCTAACCATCAGGTAATTGGACTCATGTTTGAATACAAATGAGACCTTTTTTTTGGCTACCATACAGGAGAAACCATCATCTACTTTTTAGTATACACATTTTCAGAGCTTTCTCTATGCACAAATGCATTATGCAAACATTTATATTTTTACAAAAATGGTCTGATACTGTATATGTGGTTCTGAAAACTGTTTTTTCTTTATTGTTATTTTACAGTGTACCATGAACATTTCTTCCATGCACAAGGGTGAAAATTCCCTACTGAAAGACGGAGAACACTGTAGTTGGATCAAAAGGCTGCTGGTAACAAGAGTGACACCTAAAGCAAAATATCAGCTTAAGGTTAAAGCACATAGCCTGGCAAATGCCTGCCAGGGAAAGCAGCGGCAGCAATATTCTCATCAGAGAAAACAAAATTGAAGGCCAAAGGCATTAAAGATATGGGATATCATGTAAGCCTCTTTGGCCCCTACCTCCACCCCTCACCCCCCTGACACCCCGTTGCCCCCTTGGGGCAAACGGATCCTGTACATCTCTTTGCATCCAATGAAAACCACCCATTTTCTGTTTTTTCCTTAGCTCTTCCTGAGCCCTTGACATATCTCCACATTCTCTCATCATCTCCTCACTGCCCAAGTGCCTTTCCTGTAAGTCCTCCTGATAGTCCTTGGGGGAATCATCTGTCCCCCTGTCTGTTTTTCTTTTTGCTTTCCTGGGCACGTAATCTTCAGCTGGGCGCTTCTCGGCAGCCCGTGGCTCACTCTCAGGCTTTGCCAGGGATTCTGGCTTGCCCTCACCGTGTGGTTTTCCCTCATTTTCAGACTTGCCCTGCTTTTCTTGCTTTCCCTCATCTTCTGGTTGTCCCTCATCATCTGGCTGTCCCTTATTCTGGAGCTTTCCCTCATGCCCTGGCTTCCCCTCCACGTCCAGCTTTTCTTCCTCATCTGATTTTCCTTCATCTTCAGGCTCTACTTCATCTTCTGGCGTTCCCTCGATTTCCAGCTTTCCTTCATTTTCATTGTAGAGTTTTTCCATGTTGAGATTTTCCCTTCTTTTCCTTGTCCTGCGGGGTAGGGTGGGATAGGGGGTTAAGAGAAGTCAAAAGAGACAAGGGAGACTGAGGACGTGGAGGTGGAGTGCAGGTGCTGATGGTACTGGCATCCTTCCCCTTGGCTGGGTTCCCTTGACCTGCCCAAGCCCTCCAAGGGTGTCTTTTGCCCACCCTTTACCCCACAATTCATCCCACACGTGAGAGCCAACCATTTCCCTGGCAGGCCCTTTGCACCATCCCTCGGTGTGGCCGGGTGGGTGCAATATACATGGTGGTGAGATGGGCAGTGGGACCTTCAAATTCTGCCCAAACTGTGCCCTCCGCACCCTCCCCCCACCGTTCCTGTCCAGTGCCCCTCCCCCGTTTCACTCACCTGCAGGAATTCTGAACAGGTTCTTCCTCCTTTTCTAGCCTTGCAGAGTGCTGGGGACAGACAGACAGACCTATACACAGGAGACAGGGCCAGGGCCTGTGCGCTCAGCCAACTGAAGTTTCTTTCCTGAACCTGGGCCCTCCTCAGGCAACATTTCCCTCTCCTACCTCCCCCACATCCCAGCCGCCATTACTTTTCAGGCCTCAGGCTCCAAGCCAGGATGCTTTCCAAACTGTTTGGGTGTCTGTATCCCCCTCCCCTGAAGGCAAGCCGCCCACCCCCACCCCCTTTCCGCGGAGGTCAGTATTTCCTTTTAGGTGCAGAGTGTGAGAGGGGGTTATTTCTAGAATATGCCTACATTTCACTGTCGCACTGCAGGGGCGCCCCCCCATTTCAGGTCCAAAAATGCATGGAGGGCGCACAGGAGGGGCGTCGAGGAGGCGGCGGGGTGCTCTCTCCCCACCTGCCCACGTCCGTGCTGCATCCCCCTCCCCACCGACCTCCCGGACCCCTCCCCACCCCGCGCTGCTCACGGATCCTACTGCCATCCACCTCCACCCCAGCCCGGGGCCGCCAGCAGCGCCCACCTTCACACTGACCTGCGGGGCCCGGGGCAGGCCTGCGCCTCCTCGGGCTCGCCGAAGCCCGCTCGCCCCTCGCCCGCCGCCCGGGCAGCTCAGGGAGCTGGTTCCGCGCGGGCGACGGGAGCGGAGGGCGCAGGGACCGGACCGCAGGGCGGGCGAGCGGGCGGGCGCGGGGGCTGCTGCCCACGTCGGCGCCCAGCCGGTCACGTGAGCGCCGCGTCACCCGAGCTCGGTCCCCCACCCCGCCCCCTCACCCCCATCCCCAAGGGACCGAGCAGCCGCACACGGTGGGGGGCGGGGTGGCAAAGGGGGAATCAAGGCGAGAGCAGGAGCCCGGAGGCTTCCCGACCGCAGGTGCTTCACCTGGCGCATCTCAGGTCCTCGCACAGCATCCCTCTGCGAGGTACGTCATTGCCAGGTGTGACCGCTGATCACAGGGACGGTACCCGACTTTGCCAGGAGCGCTCAGCAGCTGAGTCCCACAGGCTGCTTCCAAGAGCGGCTCTGCCTGACTCCAGAGCCCAGGTAGTAGTGCCCACCGGGAAGCGGCGCTGCCACCTTGAGTAGCTGTGTTCCTGGGCCTCTTCTCTCAGTCCACACGTTCTCTCTCCCTGAGAGATTTCTGTTCATTTCCCTCTAAGCACAGATGATTCTCAAATCTCCATCTCCAGGCTGTTCCCTCCCCGAGCCTTAGATCCGTTTCTTTGCTTTCCCACCAGCAGTATAGGAGAGTGCTTGGTTCTTTACACCTTTTCCAACATGTGTTGGAATACTTTTTCATTTTCACTAACATGATAGGTGAGTAGTAGTATCTCATGGCATTTTATTTTGCATTTTTTTGACAATTTAAATATCACTGTAAATTGTTCACGTCTTTCCACATTTTCGTTGGGTTGTTGGTCCTTCTCTCATTTTCAGTATCCTTTATACATTAACAATATTAGGCCTTTATGTTATATATGTTGCAAATATTTACTTCCAGCTTGTTAGTTGCTTTTCTACTTTGTATATGGTGTATTTCTGCCATACATTTAAACAGTAGTCAAATTTATCAAACTTTTCTTTTATTCCATCTAGATTTTGATTCATAGTTAATTATTTTCCTCTGTGAGGTCAAAGAGGAATTCACCCATTTTTTCTTTTAGTACTCATATGGTTAACTGTATTTGTCCCAAGGGCATCTGTGGTTAGGAATAGAGGTTAAGTAATACACCAGTGCCAAACTGTGTTGAATCTACTGCTGACTCAAGGCAGCTAATCAAAGACCCAAGGCTCATTATAAGGGAAGGGATTTCCTAACAAACCATCACCCATATAATGCTGGGAACCTCAAATATTTCAGTTTAAGGGTAATTATAAACTGGAAATAAACTAGCTCTCACAAAGTCTTTTAGTTTGGCCTTGCAACATCTAATTGGACTAGTAAACTTTAAGCTTTAAACAAAGATTATGGTGGTTCCAGACAGGAAGAACCCTTATAAGCCCTGACCAATGCAAATAAAATCTTCTCTGGAGTAAGTGTCCATCATCCTAGGCCCCAAATTATTTCAACCAACAATTGTTCATGTACAAAGTCCACACAGAAAGATAACTAGGAATACAAATAAAAAAAGACATCATAAATATGAAGCGGTAGAGACAACAGCCAACACAAACAGATCCATTAGTTTTGAATGATCTGAATCATCAGATACAGACTATGAAAACACAATGCTTAGTGTATTCAGATAAATAAAATCCAATCTTGAAAATTTCAACAGGGTGCCAGAAATCAGAAAAAGTGAAAAAAAAAAAAAAAGGGAATTCTAAAACTACAAAAAAAAAAAAAACTTCAGCTGAAATTAGAAATCCAGTGGATGGCTTTAACAGCAGATTAGATGCAGCTCAAACGAGAAGTAAAGAACTAGAAATTATGTTCAGAAGAAACTATCCATAAGGCTGTACAGGTAGTCAAAAAGATGGAAAATTCAGATGGGAGGGCATGGTAAGACCTAACAAATGTTTACTTGGAGTTCCAGAAGGAAAAGAGAAATGGAAATGTTCAGAGGCAACCTCTGAAGAGACAACTGAGGATTTTTCAGAACTGATGAAAGACACTGATCCATAGATCTAAGAAGTCCAAGATATCCCAAACAGGATAAGAAGAAACTCACACATAGATGCATAATAGTGACCTTTCAGAGAATCAAAGACAAAATCATAAAAGTAGCCAGAAAAATAGAGTACACCTTGAAAGGAACAAAAGTTAGGCTGATTGATGGCTTCTTAAGAGCAACAATGGAGGTATGAAGACAGTAGAATGGTATCTTTAGCAACTTGAAAGAAAATAATTGCCAGCCAAAAAAATTAAGAACCAGGAAAAATACCCTTCAAAATTAAAGGTGAAATAAAGACCTTTACAAATAAACAAAAAAGGAGAGTTTGCCATCAGCAGGCATGAACCAAAGGAAATACTGAATGCTACAGGGCATTTTTCATGTGACAGGAAAATGATCCCAGATGGAATACTGGAGATAAGAAAGGGAAAAACAACAATTAAAAAGACAAATATGTATGTAAACTTAAATCAATACTACATAAAACTAGAATCTTAATTCATATCGACAAATGACATATGAGTCAAGAAGGCTAAAGTAAAAGTACAAAATTAATATTAGCCTTTGATTAAGTCAAGACTGTATGCTCTAATTGCCAGAAAGCCATTAAGGTAAAACTTCTAAGCTAATAGAGGGGCAAAAATAAGAAAATAATCCTAAAGAAGAGAAAACTAACATACATTAGATGGGACATAGAAAAGGAACTTGCTTACAATGGTTAACTTACATCTATTAATATCAGTGAGTACATTAAATATAAATGGTTTACATGAAGCAATTGAAAGATTTTCAGACTGGAAAAAACACAATGTTATACTGTTTACAAAAGACATCTGAAATATAAAAATACATAAAGACTGAAAGTAAAAGTATAGAAGAAAATTATAACATGAAAACAGTAACCAAAAGGAAACCATTGTAGTTAAATAACAAAATAGACTTCAAAGCAAAAAGCATTACAAACCATAACAAGTGTCACTTTATGGTATTTTAAAATTTATATGCACTTATTAGATTGACCTCAAAATAAATAAATCAAAATTTGACAGAACTACAAGGAGAAATAAATTTTCCATTTTAGCATTAACACTTCTATCTCTGTAACTGTGGAAATATTTAAAGTGTTGAAAGGAAAAAAAAAAAAACCCACCAAATTAAAATTTTATATTCAGCAAAACTGTCCTTCAAAAGTGAAGGAGAAATAAAGATTTTTCTCAAACAAAAACTGATGACCAGCAAACCTTCCCTTAAAGAAATGTTAAAAACTTTTCTCTAGGCAAAAGAAAATTGATCAGCAACTCAAAATAGGTCAGCAACTCAAATCTTCATAAAGAACAGTAGAAGGGAATACATGAAAGTATAATGAAATTGTTTCCTTTTTCTTATTCTTAAGTGATACAAAAGATAAATGTTTAAAGTACTAATATTAACAATATATTTAGTGATTATAGCATATGAATAAGTGAAATGAATAATGAATACTCTGTAATAGGGTACCTATACTACATATAAGTGAAGCAGAAGATGGTTTTTTGAAAGTAAACCTAGTTAAAAATATATATTGTAAAATTGAGGGAAATAAGTAAAAATTTTTTTAAAAGAAATATAATTGATACACTAAGAGAAGACAAATGGAATCATGTAAAATACTCAGAACTAGAGAAGGCAGAAAAAGAAGCCTTGGAAACAAATGGAAAACAGTTACACATTGTTGATATTAATCCAAATATATATCAAGAATCATTTTAAATATGAATGCTCCAAATACACCCACTAAAGACAGAAATTGTCAGAATGGACAAATAAAATCCAACTATATGTTTTGGACAAGAGGCCCATTTTAAAAATAAAGACTGGGTGCTTGGGTGGCTCAGTGGGTTAAGCATCTGCCTTCGCCTCAGGTCAGGATCCTGGGGTCCTGGGATCAAGTCTTGCAACGGGCTCCTTGCTCAGCAGGGAGCCTGCTTCTCCCTCTGCCTGCCGATCCCCCTGCTTGTGCTCTCTGACAAATAAATAAATAAAGTCTTTAAAATAAATAAACAAATAAAGACTCTGAAAGTTTACAAGGAAAGCAATGGAGAAAGATTATATACCACCATATATACTAATCAAAAGAAATATGGACAAAAAAGGATGCTGGAGGGGTGCCTGGCTGGCTCAGGGGGTACAGTATTTGACTCTTAATCTTGGGGGCATGAATTCAAGCCCCACAGTGGGCACAGAGCCTACAAAAAAAATGCTGGAATAGCTATATAATTTCAGATAAAGCAGACTTGAGAACAATTAAAGTATCAGAGATAAAAAAAAAGGCACTACATAATGACAAAGGGATCAATTATGGAAAAAACCAAACACATAATAATCCTAAATACGTATGTACCTAACGAAAGTGTCAAAATATATGAGGCGGGGCGCCTGGGTGGCTCAGTCGTTAAGTGTCTGCCTTCCGCTCAGGTCATGATCCCAGGGTCCTGGGATCGACCCCGCATCGGGCTTCCTGCTCCGCGGGAAGCCTGCTTCTCCCTCTCCCACTCCCCCTGCTTGTGTTCCCTCTGTCGCTGTGTCTCTCTCTGTCAAATAAATAAAAATCTTAAAAAAAAAAAAATGAGGCAAAAACTGATGAAACAGAAAGGAGAAACAGACAAATCTATTAGAGTTGCAGACTTCAACACCCCCAGTCAGTAATTGACAGATTAAGCAGGCAAAATATCTGTACGGATATAGTTGACCTGAACAGCACTATTAATCAACTTGATCTAAATGGCATTTATAGAACATTCCATCCAATATCAGAACACATTTTTTTTCAAGTTCACATAGAACATTCACTAAGAGTCCATATTCTAGGCCATTAAATACACCTTAGCAAATTTAAAAGAACAGAAATCATAAAAGTATGCTCTCATTGGAATTAAAGTAGAAATCAGCGACAGAAAGATGGAAAAACACAAAAATTTGGAAATTAACACAATTCTAAACACATGAGTCAAGGAAAATTTCAAGAGAAATGCAAAAATATTTTGAACTAAATGAAAATAAAATTAACCTATCAAAACTTTGGGTATATAGAAAAAGTAGTGCTTAGAAGGAAATTTCTAGCTTAAATGCGTATGTGAGAAAATGAAAAAGATCTAACATCTATAATCTAAGCCTGCTTCTCCCTCTCCCACTCCTTCTGCTTGTGTTCCCTCTCTCACTGTTTCCCCAGGAGTGGAAGAGGGAGAAGCAGGCCTCCTGCCGAGCAGGGTGCCGGATGCGGGGCTCGATCCCAGGACCCTGGGATCATGACCTGAGCCGAAGGCAGACACTTAATGACTGAGCCACCCAGGCGCCCCCCCTTCATTATCTTCTTAATGTCCATGGAATCACTAGTGATAACCTCACTTTCATTTCTGATTTTGTTAATTTGGATCTCCTTTCTGTTTTCGATAACCTAAGTTTTCTCTTCAGGAAACTAAAGAAAGGTAATTTTAAGCCTAGTGCAAGCAGAAGAAAAGAAATTAATATTAATAATCAATACAACTAAAACAGGAAAAAATAGGAAAAAAAAATCAACAAAACCAAAAGCTGATTCTTTGAAAACATAAAAAAAAATTGATAAATCTCTTGCCAGGATAATCAAGAAAACAGAAAATTCTAAAGATTTTATTTATTTGACAGAGAGAGACACAGTGAGAGAGGGAACACAGCACGGGGAGAGGGAGAGGGAGAACCAGGCTTCCCGCGGAGCAGGGAGCCCAATTCGGGGCTCCATCCCAGGACCCTGGGATCATGACCCAAGCCGAAGGCAGACACTTAACAACTGAGCCACCCAGGCGCCCCAAATAAATAAAATCTTTAAAAAAAAAAAAAAAGAAGATAATGAAGGAATTCTATTAACAACTCTATGCCTACAAATTTGATAACTTAGATACAATGAACCAATCTCCTTCAATGATACAAACTACTAAAACTCACACAAGGAGAGAACAATAACCTAAATAGCCCTGTATCTATTAAAGAAATTGAATCAATAATTCATAACCTCCCAAAGATAGAAATCACCAAGACCAAATTCTACCAAACATTTAAGCATCACCAGTAAACATTTAGAGATCACTAGGGAATTCTACCACACATTTGGGTAAGAAATAATGCCAATTCTCCACAATGCCTTCCATAAAACAGAAGTAGAGCGAACGTTTGATTTATTCTCTGAGGCCAACATTACCCTAATTCCAAAACCAGATAGAAGGCATTATAAGAAAGGAAAACTACAGACCAGTATCTCTCATGAACACAAACACAAAATCCTCAACAAAGTATCAGAAAATCGAATCCAACAATGTATAAAAATTATGCACCTAACAAGTGGAATTTATTGTAGGCATGCAAAGCTGATTTAACATTTGAAAATAAATCAGTGTAATCCACCACATAAACAGACTAAATAAGATATATCATATGATCTTATCACTTGATACAGAAAAAGTATATGACAGAATCCAACACCCATTTATGATAAAGGTTCTCAAAATAGAATTAGAGGGGAACACCTCAATTTAATAAAGAATATCTACAGGAAACCTGTAACAACATACTTAACGGTGAGGAGGACGCTTCATCCTAATATCAGGAACAAGGCAAGGTATTCTTTTCTCATTGCTCCTATTAAACATCATCCTGGAAGTCCTAGCTAGTGCAATAACACACACACAAAAAGGAAATAAAACACACACAAAAAGGAAATAAAACATATACAGATTGGAATGGAGGAAATAATACTGTCTCTTTGCAGATGACATGATTGTCTATGTAGAAATGCCACAGCACTGACAAACTCCTGGCTACAAGATCTGTAAGGCTGTAAAGCTAATATACAAGAGTCAATTGCTTTCTTACATGCCAGCAATGAACTGGAATTTGAAATTTAAAAATATCATAAAAAATAGTACTCCCCAGGGGCGCCTGGGTGGCTCAGCTGTTAAGCATCTGCCTTCGGCTTGGGTCATGATCCCTGGCTCCTGGGATCGAGCCCCGCATCGGGCTCCCTGCTCTGCAGGAAGCCTGCTTCTCCCTCTCTTACTCCCCCTGCTTGTGTTCCCTCTCTCGTTGTCTCTGTCAAATAAATAAATAAATCTTTTTTAAAAAAAAGTACTCCCCAAATGCAGAATGCGCCTAAAGAATCTAAGTGTGTTACAAATCTATGAAACAACCCCACTGAAAGGGATGGAGGAATAAGGTGTTGACATAGGGTAACTTTGGGAGTGGAGTCTATAAAACTAAAGGCAAAAATTTGTCTCTATATAAATAAATATATAAAAATAATTGAAGCTGAAAACATATATAAACATGCACATATACACACGGGTTATTATGTATCAGTAGATCTCCTTGCTGTCAACTGCGAGGGCCTAGAAGCAATGATACCCCAATAGTAATGAGTACCCTTAGCACCCAGATCTTGGTTTTGATACCATTCTCTAACCAAAGGTACCAGGGCCCCTTGGAGAAATGGCAAATTCTAGGACTTGGACAGGAACTATACAAGACTACACCATCTTGTAGTGCCAGAAAGTATTAAACACACACATACACGTGCATGCCTGCACACATACACACACAGTGATGGGAGGAGGTATGTTAAATAAATACAAAAGCCAAGTGAAAGAGCTCGCAATGGCCAAGTTGGAACAATTAGAGCAATGAAAGTATGTGAAGTAGTATTAGATTATAATCCAAAGTATAAAATATTGATTGCTGGATCGTAAGGTAGTTATATTTTAACTTTCTGAGGAACAATGGAATATTACTCAGCCATAAAAAAAGAATGAAATCTTGCCATTTGCACCAAAGTATAATGCTAAGTGAAGTAAGTCAGTTAGAGAAAGACAAATACCATATGCTTTCACTCATATTTGGAACTTAAGAAACCAAAGGGAAAAAAATGAGAGAGACAGACATAGCAAGAAACAGACTCTTAATTATAGAGAACAATCTGATGGTTACCAGAGGGGAGGGTGGTGTGGGGATGGGTTAAATAGGTGATGGGGATCAAGGAGTACATTTGTCATGATGAGCACTGGGTGATGTATGGAATTGTTGAATTACTATGTTGTATACCTGAACTAATATAACATTGTATGGTAACTAATTGGAATTAAAATTAAAACTTAAAGAGTCCATACTGATACCCTCAAGTAGGTGGAACCTAACATCCCACTCAGTCCTTCTCAAGTATGGGCTGTGCATAGTGACTTTCTTCCAAAGAGTACAGTATGGAAAGGGAGAAATAAGAGTAACTTTACCATGGTGAATCCTGACAAACACTACCTCAGCCAGGTCATGAAAGTTAACCACAGTGGTAATATTGATAGTATGTACCCTTTTTAAAAAAAGTAAACTAGACACCCAACGTGGGGCTTGAACTCATGACCCCAAGATCAAGAATCACATGTTCCATGGACTGAACCAGCCAGGCACCCTGTTTACACGTACCCTTTATATAATGTAGTGAGTATGGCACTTACCTATCTGGTCCTCTTCCCAAAAGCACTTAATGCCTGTGTAACCACAAGAAAAAAATCAAGCAAACTTGAATTGTGGAACATTATACAAAATACCTGACCAGTACTTCTCAAAAGTGTCAAAAACAGGGAAAGTGAGAAACTGTCACAGCCAAGAGGAGCCTATGGAGACAAGATGACTAAATGTAAGGTGGTAACCTGGATAGGATCCTGGAACAGAAAAAGGACATTAGGGAAAAACTGAGGGAATTTAATATGTACTTTGGTAAATAATAATGTATCAAAATTGGTTGTGACAAATGCACCATACTAATGTAAGATGTTAATAAAGAATACTGTGAATGGGGTATACAGAAACTCTGTACTAGCTTTGCAATAATTCTGAAAGTCATTAACTCCTAAAATAAAAGTTTATTAAAAAAAACACTAAAAGCAAATAAAAGGCTAATGAAGAGCTGGGGCAGGGCGGGGGGGGGGGAAGGAATCACATAGGTAGATGGATCTGTTGAAATGGTAAGGCAGGGCTTAACAGGAACTTCCTGAGAGACAATTCCTCCTAAGAAAAAAGTGTCAGCAGACAAGAGATTAACAGGTGAGAATAGCACAGCATCTGGCCACTCAGATTTTTCTGGCTCAATCTCCAGTATCAAAATCCAGTGAAGATAGTTGTATGGAAAAACACACACAAACTGACAAAAATTCTGGAAAGGAGTGTTTTCTAAAAACTTTATATCAAGGCCCAGTGACAACTGGGTACTACCCACCTGAATTAGGGTAACTCTGCCGTAGGTAGAGAAGAATTCTCCACCTTTCTGTTGAGACAGTGTTGCTTTAGTCCATCATGGTCTCCAGCCCACCAGTAGCAGGGGGGCTTCAGGAGGGTACAGAGCCCCTGAGAACGGGCACAGTGCCCAAGACACATGGCATTACCCAGGGGAGAGTGGCACCCACCTTTTATCTGACTTATTCCTAGACACAAGTGAGACCTCTTATACCTCCCCCAAACATCTAACAGAATTCTGGTTCTGCTAGTGCAAGGCAAAGGGTAGGAGCCAACTCAACACAGCTCATACTCATTTCCTCATCTGATCTTCTCCACAACCCTGGAAGGCAAGTTTACCCCATTCGACAGATGACAAGACTGTTTGTTACAGCAATGGATTAGTATCGGCCAGGTTGAGTCTTCTAGCTTCCAGTCTCAAAGACAAGTTTTACGAAACATTTTATATCCTGACCAAGAATTTTCGGTGTCTCCACTGCATTTATGAGCAATCTGAACAGTTGTTTTGATTGCTTGGTATATACTGTTTTCATGATGAAAGTAATCTATGTTTTTTAGGAGAAAATATACAAGGAACAAAAAAGAATAGAAAAAAAAAATCACCCACAGATCACCAGGACATAGCTTTCAGAGTTTTCTCTACATAAATCACTAGGTAAATACCTTTGTAGTTTTACAAAAATGGACTGATGCTATATATGGTGAACTTTTTTCTTTTTAATTTTATAATATGCCATAAACATTTTCCCATGCAATGGACAAAAATCTGCTACTGAAACATCGAAGGCTGCAGTTGGATAACAGGGTGATAGCTAAAGCAAGTATCAGCATAAGGTTAAAGCACAGGGCCTGGGCAAATACCTGCCAGGGGCACTACACAAAAGGAATGTCTTCAAAGCCCCTCTGTGGGGCCCTGCACCCACCCCTGAGTTCCCTTGGGCCCCTCGGGTGGAAGGGGTCCTGTAAACTTTTTTGCATCCACATAAACCCCCCCAATTTCTGTCTGGTTTTCTTCACCTCATCCTCCACCCTGGCCATCTCATCAAATTCTCTTATCATCTCCTCATTGCTCAAATGCATATCGTGTATGGCCTCCTTATATTCCTTGAGGCACTGAGCCAGCCCCTTGTTGGTTTTTCTTTTGGCCTTCCTAGGTACATCATCCCCAGCTGGGCGCTTTCCTGCAACCCTTGATTCGATGGCTGGCTTTTCTTCTTTTGACTTTTCCTCATTCACTGGCTTTCCCTCATTCTCTGATTTTTCTTCTTTTGGCTTTCCCTCACTCACTGGTTTTCCTTCTTCTTTTGGCTTTCCCTCACTCACTGGTTTTCCTTCTTTTGGCTTTCCCTCACTCACTGGTTTTCCTTCTTTTGGCTTTCCCTCGCTCACTGGTTTTCCCTCTTCTTTTGGCTTTCCCTCACTTACTGGTTTTCCTTCTTCTTTTGGCTTTCCCTCGCTCTCTGGTTTTCCCTCGCTCTCTGGCTTTCCCTCGCTCTCCGGCTTTCCCTCGCTCTCCAGCTTTCCCCCCATCCCTGGGTTTCCCTCCATCTCTGGGTTTCCCTCCATCTCTGGGTTTCCCTCCATCCCTGGGTTTCCCTCCATCTCTGGCTTTCCCTCGCTCTCTGGCTTTCCCTCGCTCTCTGGCTTTCCATCTTTTGGCTTTGTCATACTCTCTGGCTTTTCTTTATCCTTTAGTATTTCCTCATCTTCTGTCATTCTCTCGTTTTCTAACTTTTCCTTGTCTTCCAAAGTACAAGCTACTTCTGGCTTTTCCGCATCCTGTGACTGTTCTTTGTATTCCATCTTTTCTTCGTTCTCAGTCATTCCTTCATTTTCACTGCAGAGTTTTTCCATGTTGAGCTCTCCCCTCCTTTTCCTGTCCTGGGGTGGGGAGGAAGAGGAGACAAGGGAAACTGAGGGCTTGGGGGTGGAATGCAAGTCTGGATAGTACAGGCATCTCTCCCCTTGTCAGGGTTCCCCTGACCTGGCCCGCCTTTAAGTGTGCTTTCTGCCCACCCTCTCCCCTCACACACGTGAGCCAACCATTTCTCTGGCAGGCCCTGCCATTTTCTCTACGTTTGCTCAGCACGGCAGAATGTGTATAAACGCGTTAGGAGGTGGGCAGTGGCGCCCCATATTCTGTGGGTGCTGTACCCTCCACACTCCCCACCCCTCTGGGTCCCTGTCCAGAGACCCCCTTCCTTCACTGACCTGCAGGGATTCTGAACAGATTCCTCCTCCTTTTCTAGCTTTGCAGAGTGCTGAGAACAGACACGCAGACCTGCAGACAGACAGGAGACAGGGGCTGCGCGTTTGGGTGGATGCACAGCAACTCGGCCCCTTTCCTGCATCCCGGCCCTCCTCATCCAACGTTTCCCTCCCCCACCTCCTCCGCCCCCCGCACCCCAGCCGCCATTTCTTTTCACGCCTCGGGCGCCAGACCAGGATGTTTTCCAAACTAATTTTGGATCTCTTGTGTCCTTCTCCCCCGGAGGCAACTCGCCTCCCCACCCTCGAGGTCAACTTTTTTTCTCTACGCATGGAGTGGTAGAGGGGGTTTATTTCCACTGTCTCACCGGCGGGGCGCCCCTTAGCTCACCAGCTCCGGCTCCAAAATGGACGGAGGGTAGCGAGAAGGAGGTGAGGCGAAAAGGGGCCACGGCCACTAGGGGTGTCCACTCTTCCCCCCCCTCCGCCGATTGGTCGCTAGCTCCCCCTTAGCCATTTTCCCACCGCCATCTCTATCTGCACTCCGGCCAGCTTCCCTCAACCCGGACCCCATCCCCACCCTTTTTCCTCTCCGTGTTCGTGCCTCACCCCCCATTCCAGGGTTCCGCAGGCGGCGACGAAGGCCCTCACACTTACCTGAAAGAACCTGGAGCAACAATTAGGAGCTCGCAGACCGCTCCGGATCCGACCGCAGGGGAAGAGGGCGGGCCCGCGGAGTGGTGCCCACATCTGCGCCCCGGCGGTCACGTGAGCGCCGCGTCACCCGAGCTCGCCCCCCTCCCCCCGCCGCCCCGCCCACCGGCCGGCGACTGCCAGTCACCCCACCGCTCTCTGGAGCGCTTCCCCTCTCACCTCTCTGGGCCCTTTTGTCCTTTTTCTCTTCTTGAGGTGGTCAAAGGAATAATTTTAATAAAAACCACAGAGGCTTTTTTTAATGGGTTGGGCGGTCGGGGGAGGAGTCTTGACCGTGTTGCTCTTAATTTCCATTGAAAGAACTAGAGCCAGCCAATGAAATCGTATGACTGTGAACTTTAATGTGGTACATAGAATATTGCACTTTATTTTTTATTTTAATTTTTTAAAGATGTATTTATTTATTTGGGGAGGGAGGGGCAGAGGGAAAGAGAATCTCCAGCAGACTCCCGGTTGAGCTCCGAGCCCATGAAGGGCTCCTTCGCACCACCCTGAGATCAGGACCTGAGCAAAAATCAAGTCTGAGGCTTAACGGACTGAGCCACCCAGGTGCCCCAGAATATTACACTTCAGAAAAAATTAGGAAAAATGTTCCCCTCGAGATAAAATTGTTCCTTTTTCCTGACATGCGCAAACATAAATTTTCTAATTATTTAAATCTAAAAATAAAATTATATTTGAAGCAGAATAAAGGAACAATTAATTTTTTTTATAAGGGAGAGACTAAATATACAACGGACAATGACCTGACCATACATGACAATAGAACTGGGACCCACAACCTCTGCAGCAAGCAGGCCAGGAAACCAAACCATAGCCTCTGAAGCAATCTTCAGGACTTGATCAATGACTGCCAACCTCCCTATTTTTGCCTCCCCCCCCCACCCCGCAAGAGAAATCCAAATATCCTCTCCAAACCAATCATATAAGATGGACTGCTTTTAGCTAGCCTGCTTCCAGCTTCCCCACGCCAACAACTTCCAGTTAGAGAATACTTAAAGTCTTCTCTTTGGTCCGAGCTAAAGCTTTTCCACTCCCCAGAGACTTTCAGTCTCTGCCAAACACAAGTAATGGTGGCCTACTCCCTTGTTATAACAAGTTCTGAATAAGTAGTCTCTGTTTAAGTTTTTTGTGTGGAAGGCCTTTAAAAATATAATAAAGACATGAACAATTAAGGAAAACGTTGATAGATTTGACTACCTGAAAATGTGTACCAATTTCTTAAGGGATTGGGGACACATGCACTCTTCCCTGCTCTTGGTGAGTGGGATGGTAAAAAAGTGTTCTGAAAAGTAAGCTGGTAAATTGTTTTAAAATAAAAATGTTTGATATTTTGGTTCAGTAATTCCACTTCTAATATTTACCCATGGAGAGAATTAATAATGTGCTAAAATATAATCTTATGTTTTAAAAAATGTTTTGTATTATAAAAATTCCCATAATAGCTGTTTATTAGGCATTTATTCTTTGCTGGAACTAGGGCTACAGTATTAATTATGTAGGCTTTGTTTACAATGGAAAAAATGGAATATCACAATTGTCTATCAGTACAAATTTAGTTACATAATCTTATTAATACATTTGTTTACATTTGGTTAAAAAAATAATTAAAATGTTGTGTTCTAAATACACAGTGGAAATTATTAACTATTTATAATCCCCAATTACTATGGGTGTTGGGACACAAAGGATAACCACAGGATGTGGCATTGACCTCTAGAGAATGCCACCTATGTGCCAGGAACTGTGTTAGCTACTTTATCTTACCTGGTGCAGAATTCATTTATACCTGATAAAGGAACTCACACTTCAAAGAAGCAGAATGATTTATAAAGCTATAAGCTTAACTCAGTGTGATATTGGAATAAGCATAGCAGGAGGAATGAAACACAGAGATCCCACTAACATACCCAAGTATAAAGGTTTTTAGTATGTGATAAGAATCCATCTCTGGTCAGTAGTGAAAAATAGGTTATTATGGAAATTATATTTGTATAATTAAATAGTTAAAGAAAAATGAAGATCCTTATTTTCTGACATACTATCAAGTTCTTATAGGCCAGTACAATGAAATAAAAGGCATCCAGATTGTAAGGAAAGAAAGAAAACTTCCTTTATTTGCAGATGGCAAGACCGTGTATGTAGAAAATCCCAAGAAGTCCACTAAAGAACTATGAGAACTAATAAATGAGTTCAGATCAATACATAAAAATCAATTATATTTCTATATGCTAGCAGTGAATGATTTAAAATGGAAAGTAAGAAAACATTTCCATTTAAAATAGCATCAAAAACAACAAAACACTTAGAAATAAATTTATTAAAAAGTCTAAGATTTGTACACTGAAAACTATAAAATACTGTTCAAAGAAATTAAAAAATAAATAAATGGAAAGACATCTTATGTTCACAGATTGGAAGACCTAATATAAAGATTCCCAAATTGATCTACAGATTCAACACAATCTCTGTCAAGATCTCAGCCGCCTTGCTTGCAGAAATTTACAAGCTGATCCCAAAATTCACATGGAAATGCAACAAACCCAGAATAGACAAAACAATCTTGAAAAAGAAGGGCAAAGTTGGAGGCCTCACGCTTCCAGATTTTAAAACACTATAAAACTATAGGAATCGAGATAAGGTGGTACTGGCATAAGGACATATAAATCAACAAAATAGAATTTAGAATCCAGACATAAACCTTCACATTTATAGTCATGGATTGTCAACCAGAGTCCAAAGAAAATTCGATGGTGAAAGAATGGTCTTTTCAACAAATGGTGCTGAGACAACTAGATATCTACATGCAGAAATGAATTTGGACCTCCCCTTCACACCATATACAAAACTTAACTCAAAAATAAATCAAAGTCCTGGGGGCACCTGGCTGTCTCAGTCAGTAAAACATGCAACTCTTTATCTCAGGGTCCTGAGTTCAAGCCCCACTTTGGGCGCACAGCTTACTTAAAAAAATAAAATAAGGGGCACCTGGGTGGGTCAGTTGGTTAAGCGACTGCCTTCGGCTTGGGTCATGATCTCAGGGTCCTGGGATGGAGCCCCACATCGGGCTCCCTGCTCGGCGGGAGGCCTGCTTCTCCCTCTCCCACTCCCCCTGCTTGTGTTCCCTCTCTCACTGTCTCTTTCTATGTCAAATAAATAAATAAAATCTTTAAAAAATTAAAATTAAAAAAATAAAATAAATCAAAGTCATACATGTAAAAACTGAAACTATTAAACTCTTAGAAGAAAATAGAGATGTAATTCTTCATAACCTTGGATTAGGCAATGGTCTCTTAGATATAACACCAAAATCTCAAACAACAAAAGAAATATAAATAAATGGGACTCTATCAAAATGAAAAATTTTTGTAATTCAAAGGACAACATCAAGAAAGTGAAAAGACAACCCACAGAATGGAAGACAATTTCGAAAGTAATATATCTGATAAGGGACTTATATCTAGAATATATAAAGATCTGTTGCAACCCGATAAGAAAACAGATAACCCAATTTTACTTTGGGGATTTTGAGGCTTTTTAAAATTGAAATATATTTGACCTATAACATCACTTAAATTTAAGGTGTACAACACGTTGATTTAGTAAAGTATATATTATAATGTGGCGATAATTAGCACCTGTGTCATGTAACATAATTATCGCCTGCTTCTCCCTCTGCCTCTCTCTCTCTGTCTGTCTCTCATGAATAAATAAATAAAATAAAATCTTTAAAAAATAAAAAATAAAAATGGACAGAGGAACTAAGTAGACATTTTCACAAAAGCCCAAATGGCCAACAGATACATGAAAAGATGCTCAGCATCACTAACCATCAGGGAAATGCAAATCAAAACCATAGTGAGATATCACCTCACACCTGTTAGAATGGCTATCATCAGGAAGACAAGAGATAAGTGTTGGTGAAGATGTGGAGAAAAGAAAAGACTTGTGCACTGTTGATGAAAATGTAAATCAGTTCAGCCACTATGGAAAACAATGTGGTAGTTCCTCAGATATTTTCTAAAAAATTAAAAATAGATCTAGCATATGATCCAGCAATTCTACTTCTGGGTATATACCTAAAGAAAATGAAAACAGGGGGCGCCTGGGTGGCTCAGTCGTTAAGCGGCTGCCTTCAGCTCAGGTCATGATCCCAGCGTCCTGGGATTGAGCCCCATGTCCGGCTCCCTGCTCCGCGGGAAGCCTGCTTCTCCCTCTCCCACTCCCCCTGCTTGTGTTTCCTCTTTCGCTGTGTCTCTCTCCATCAAATAAATAAATAAAATCTTAGAAAAAAAAAGGAAAATGAAAACAGGATATTAAAGAGATATCTGCACTCACTTGTTTATCACAGCATTATTTACAATAGCCAAGATATGGAAACATCCTAAGTGCCCATCAACTCAATTTTGAAATGAGCAAAGGATCTGAATAGACATTTATGCAAAGAAAATATAAATATGGCCAATAAGCACGATGTGTTCAACGTCATTAGCCATCACGGAAATGCAAATCAAAACCACAATGAATAACACTTCATACTCACAAAAAGACAGATAATAGCAGGTGTTGACAAATATGTAGAGAAATTGGAACCATCACACACTGATGGTGGAAATGTCAAATGGTGCAAGCACTGTAGAAAACGGTGAAAGAACCCAGTCACAAAAGACTACATATGGTGATTTCACTCATATGTGGAATTTAAGAAACAAAGCAAATGAACAAAGAAAAAAAGACACAAACAAACAAACAAAAAACCCAGACTTTTTTAAAAGATTTTTTATTTATTTATGCAAGAGAGAGAGAGTGAGCAAGAGAGGGAGCACATGAGCAGGGACAAAGGGAGGAGGAGAAGCAGAATTCCCTGCTAAGCAGGGAACCTGACACCGGGCTTGGTCCCAGGACCCTGGGATCATGACCTGAGCGGAAGGCAGACACTTAACTGACTGAGCCACCCAGGCGCCTCTAGACTCTTAAATATATAGAACAAACTGGTGGTTACCAGAGGGGAAGTAGGTGGGGGCAGAGGTGAAGGAGATTAAGAAAGAATACCTTATCATGATGAGCACCGAGTAATGTATAGAATTGTTTAA